TTAGCCTCCTCTTTTCTGGTCTCGGCTCCCTCACACCATCCACGCTTCTTTTCAAAGGTAAAGCGCAGGTTAATTTGTTTTATGTATTTTTACTTTATATTTTGTATTAATAATTTTTATATGAATATTTTTGAGTTGTGGAACGGACCATATGAGTTTCCATTATTTCTAATGGGAAAATTCGCTTTGATATACGAGTGCTTTGGATTACAAGCTTGTTTCCGGAACGAATTATGCGCGTAAACCAAGGTACCACTGTATTTATAAATGAAGATAACAAAACAGTCAATTAGCATGTTTATTTAGAACATGATAGTAATAAATAATAGCAGACAGATTTTGAGGATCCCTGTGGGGAATGACAGCAAACTTGACTGTGAAGTGTAGCTACCAGTTGTGGCACCTATAGGGAGCTGGGGGTCACAGGCCTTGCTCAAGGGCCCCCACATGCGCTGGCACTGGGCTTGAATGGGTGACCTTTGAACCATGAGTAGAGAGGCTTAGAGGCTTAGCTCACACAACCACATGCTCAGGGGTATGGAACATAAGCTAACACAAAAACACTGTTTACAGAGTTTTGGCAGCGTCATCGTCCAGAGGTAGCAGCATGTAGCTCAGAGGGTTAAACCTCTGTGCCAAAGACTGCCAGTTCAAGCCCAACCAGCACTTGGGCTCTGTGTTTGTACCCCTGGGCATTGCAAAGGGTGAAGCCTTAGCATGCTAAACTCAAATTTTAAAGTCTTTGCACATATGAAAGATAAATCTTAAGAAAAGAGTATAGGTTGGTACAACTTTTGTTGTTAGCAATTCTTAGTGTGTACAACTAAGTTTTTATAGACAAAAAATCATCTAAAAATGTATCTAAAAAAATTACTCAGCATAACAATAGGTGGTTTTCTTGAAAACTTAAAAGTTTGAGTTGCCTTCAAAACTCAAGTGCAATAAGTTGGCCTTCAAATTTTGTCTTAACTGTATGTTTTTTTACAGTGTACAGATCGACGCAGTAACTGACTACACGGAAACAGTATGCTACATAAAATGCAAATAAAAACAAATCACAAACGGTACATTACAGATTATTTCAAAATCACAGAAATTTGGAACCTTACCTACCTATAAACACACAAACTTCTTAAATGCTAAATTTTATGTAGTCCAACAACGTTCAGCCCTTCTGCCGACTAAAAAACTGCTTATCCAACACGTTAGTTTCCAGGGGCTGTCGGTTACATTAGCCATCTCCTATGCAGTCGAACAATAACTAATTGAGGAAGGCGATTGGATGGACGTCAATTGGGGTACCGACTGGAGCTTGGCATAGGTCCAGGGGGTTTCCTACATAGAGGTTCCTGTATTCAAAAGAGAGTGTCTACAAATAATAATTTAAAAACTAAATATGTGAACACCTTACAATCCATTACATTTATTTATTATTGTCTTTTTTAAGTTACGTTAAGCCTTTTCACATATTTAAGCCTTTTACTTATAAACCTAGCTATGGCGTCAATGGAGGGGAAAACGCTTAATGTAGTATAAAGTCCATATTCTTAGCATTTAGGTTTAGATTTTTTGTCAGGTGAAAGTGTTTATGACCAGATGTGTGTGTGACAAATTTGGTGATTATTGGTCACTATTTTGGTACATTAAACGACATTAAGCTTTTTCACGTTAAGCGTTTTAGAACTGTTGGTCCTTTGCGCATGCGTCCTCCGACAGACGTCTGGGAGTGTCGCTGAGACCCTGCGGACGTATATTATTGTCACCAGCACAGTTCGTTTAAATGCCGTTCCAGTCTTTCTCGGTGGGACCTGGTGAGGATGACTGTACGTATCCGAGTGTTAAGAGTCTCGATCATTTATATACCGTCATTTATTTGCTAATTTAAGTACATTACGGTAAACTTGGAAGAAGTTCCGTTTTCTGTGACAGGAAATCATGGAATCTAATTGTTTATTAGATTCTGACAGCTATGCAGATTTTCTTGGTCATATTTAACGGTTTCGTTTAATCAGTAAACCAATCCATTATTTTCAGACTTTGTGAATTGTGCGTGTTTAATTTTTTAAGAACATGGGGGACAACACCATGCATGGCGAATTCTGACAGACGTTTTGATCATTATACCCGGACGACCTAACTGAAAACGTATAGTCTACATAGTTTTTTTCCTCAGTCAAGTCGCTTTGGCACAGACGCCGAACAAACTTGCAATGGACACGTCTGTCCGTAACTCCGTGTGCGGACAGGGTGACGGTCCCTGGTAAAATACATTATTTACCTTATTTAGCATAGATGCAGCAATAATGTTAACAAAAGAGTGTACTTGTCGTTGGTTCTATGCTAATCAGCTAGGATTCATCAACACCAATATTACACAATATGTGAAAATAGGCTTTATATATCGGCATATCTTTCTGTGGCGTTATTCAGACGCGGTTCAGATCTTTTGTTTATTTAGATTAGATAAGTATACGTTTTTTGTAATATCAATTCCATGATATAGTCTATATTTGTTTCACATTTGTCCCAGTGCACAGAAGGCAGTGGATGAATGTATAGTTATATTTAATTCATTTTTTGTTTATTGAAAAGCAATCATCTGAGCAAAAACTTATGCGATAAGTTGATGACATTTGTTTGTTGTAACACCAGTGACTCTATTATGCCTGATTTCCCATCTCTACTTTTATTTTTACAGATGACGAATCTGACTATTATTCGACTCAAGAAGAGGCAAGAAGTAAGGAGCCCGATCAGAGTCAAGTGACTGCAATTCAGCTAGAAATCCTGCCCCCCTGACTTTGGTGCAAATTGTGTATTTACAGTATGTGTACAATGCTGTGATATATGTGACTGGATTGCCAGGTGAAATGCAAAATTGAAATGAAAGATTATTTATGAAGGGGAAAATATCCTGTTGTCCAATTTCATTTTAGCTCTTTGGGAACTATGACTGAAACAACAATGGTTTTAAGCTGAATTATTTTAAGCTAATTAAATTATTTAACTTTATATCTAGCTATATTAATGCGTAATACAATGACACGTACCAGTTAATTAGTTTCCAGCTGGTAGGTGTAGTCACAGAGGCAGGGTGTAATTGCAATGTGCACATGAAGAGTTTTTGGAAACATTTGAACAACATATTTCCATCAGACAGGTTGCGGAGTCAAGGCAAAGAATATGGCCGCCGCTGTTGCAAATGCATAATAGTGTCCTTGGCAGTGCTGTGCGTTACCCTATTCATTGCCGTAATATACCAGGGTGTCAACTGTGAGTATGAATCAGTGTTTGCATGTATATGTTACAATATTTTCATAACTATTTCTAGTTATTGTACAGTATATGTAACAATACACTATTTGACACAACATTATGTAAAACCAGAGGATGCCAACATGACACTAATGAAAGTTCAGTTATTCAAAAGGTAAAAATTACATCCCAGTGATACATTGTCTAAGTTTAGACTTTATACTGCAGGTTAAAGGTCCATCCACGTCATTGTTCTACAGTGATTTCAAGTAATAGTTGTTTAAAATAGAATTTTAGAATTTCTTTTAAATTTTAAAGCTTTAGAATTTCCAAAACTGTTAGTAGTAGGTTAAACATTTAAGATGTAGCTGCAGAATCTACCAAGATGGTTTCAAATGTACTTTTTTATGTTTCACTCGAAGAAATATGTAAATCTGTATTTCTAAGTATATGTGAATATGTCTCTAGCTTTCTACTGAGTTTATGCGAATATTAGTCTTATGTTAATGTATCATTTGTATTTTTATGTTTTATTTGCCAATTATTAAAACTCATAACAGGCAGGAACTTAACAGGAGAGCTTTCGACGATGAAAGTTGCAGCAGCGCAGCATAGCGACAAATATGGGATCCTGGATAAAGAGAAGGAGCAGCTACAGAAAAATGTCAGCATGACAGTTAAGAACATGACAGACCTACAGGCACAATATAACCAGCTACAGAAAAATTATATGAAGTTAGAGGAAACGAAGAATAAGTTGATCAGTGAGAAGAATAATTATCAGCAACAATGCAGCAGTTTGCAAAAGGATAAGGATGAAATACAAAAAAATTATGATGCTCTGTTAAGTAAATTACCCCTCCTTCAGAAGTACTGTCACACCACTGAAAAAGGTAAATTTACACTTTTTCTCTCAGCTTAACTTACATATTTCAGTGAAAATATTACTTTCTCATTCTCACTGATTCCATCAGCCATTTTAGACAGAGTGAGTGTTTCTTGTGTCTTTGCAGAGAGAGTCTGTGATCCCTGTCCTCAGGGCTGGGAGAAGCACAATGGCCAGTGTTACTATTTCTCTACAAGTGTAACGACCTGGAATGAAAGTCAGAATAACTGCATTAAGGAGGCGGCTCACTTGGTGACTGTAAACAGTGAAGAGGAGCAGGTGACTGGCCTGATCTCTGTGTGGCTCCTTTGACCGTGTGATGTGTGGCTTATGTTCACATTCAGCATGTGCCAGTGTGGACACTGTGTCTCTCAGCAGTGCTGCGTCAGTCATTCACTGTCTTCTGTTCAGGACTTTATCACCAAAGAGGGAAGCAGCAGTTACTGGATTGGACTGACTGACAGTGCGGAGGAGGGAGTTTGGCGCTGGGTGGACGGCACTGATCTGAAGCAGGGGTATGAAATCTTTCATGTATAACCTGTCTGTTACCAAACAAACCAGGAACCAAGATGTGAAACAGCTCTAAAGTTCTCCACATCTACTCACAGCTGTCTTACTTACCAGAAAGCCCATTACATTTGGTTTAAACCTCTAGTGTAGACATTTTTTTATTTGTGCTAAAGACACAGTAACTTAATTAGTATGTCTGGCTCTTCTTTGTTTTCCAGATTCTGGTTATATGGGGAGCCGGACAATAAGGACCAGCAGTCAGCAGGCATAACAGCAAACTGTGTCATTAATAGCAGAGAATGGAAGGATGAACCCTGTGAAGATCAGTATAGATGGATCTGTGAGACTCAGACACTGCATCCCAAACCACTTCATATCTGAATTTTTAAAATAACTTATTCATTAGCAGATTAGCTAAGTTTGCAATTTTTTTAAATTCCAGTTGCATTTAAATAACATTAGAATGTTCTCATTTTCATAGTGACCTGCAAATTTATTGAGTCCATGCTTGTAAATATGTATAATAATAATATACTCCACCTGTTAACTGTGATTGGACAGATATACAACCATCAATGGTAATACACTTGGTAATATGTGATGCATCAGTGCATTACAGTGCTGCTTATGAGAGAGAGCTGCATAACGTCACGACACACAGCACTGGCAACTGAGCCCCTAATAACTAGATATTTGCTTTAAGCTCATTTAAATAACACAATGTGCTTCAAATGAATGACGTCCGTAACAATTCTGAAATGTATGTTGACAGTATTATTGTAAAATAATCAAAAAAGCTCTTTATATTTTTATAAACAAACTGTTATTTACCTACTTTTAATTTCAATACTTTCTCTAAAAATTGTATTCTATATTAGTATTTTCCTTCAATTGATATTTAGTAGTAAATTGAAATAAGCTGTGAACAGAAGTTGACTGTAAACACTGTAAAAGATTCTGTACCGGTTTTGCATTTTTAATACAAATAGTGCCATCAAAGTCTTTGCTTCAGTGATCATTTCAAGAAGACTGGTGACACTAGGTGGCATCAGTGTTAATCCAAACTCACAGTAATATTATTGTTGCCTAAATGGAATCTTAAAAGCAAGACTGAATATTACAGTGAATTATGCTCATTTGTGTATTAATACTGGCAGATTAAGAATGAAGCTGAGTAACTATCACATGATTTTAACCCTGCAGACTAGTTAGACAGATATACTGTGTACATGCTGCTGACCTGGTCAGGTTTTCACTCTTTTCTATGTTTCCATTGTGATTGGTGGAGATGGGATGTATGTGTGGTTTTGGCCCTCACCCTGTCTGCAGAGGTCAGGTGACTCTCACTCTAATACACAACTACTTCCTAAAGTAGATCCCCCCCATCCTTTCTTGGGAGGAACCAGACTCAAAGGGGAAGCCCGTCCTCCAGGGGCCAGCAGAGGAAGTCAAACGAGCAAGATGGTAAAATCCTAATTTCCAAATTTTGAGTCTCAAAGAGGTAGCAGGTGATGACAGACAGGTGCTGGTGCTGCTTCTGATGGCAGGATGGACAGTGATACAGCAGCAGGGCATATGGGAGAGACGTCAGAGGCAGAAGGGCGAGCAGGCAGGAAAGACCACACAGGCAGTGGAGGCGTCTCAGGCAGCAGGACAGGCAGAATATATTGATATTCTTGCGTCTCCAGGCAGCACACCCCAGGAGGGGTGGGGGAGATAAAAAGTGCATCAGCCAACATAGGGGAAACTAGAGGCAGTGCAAACAGTTAGGTGACTATAGTGAGAAGCAGCTTGTGTAACTGACACATAGCCATATAGCCTGCTTCTGGCAAGGTGAAGAACATCCTCTGCCCCTCCGTTCCAAGACAATGTAGCAGTTCAGCCCTCTGTCACGTATCTGGCCATGCTGTAGTTTTGAAACATTTTAAGGGGGGGGGGGTGTTAAAAATCTGAGGAAGTCCCTTTTAAGTCCATCTCTCCCAGGAGCACCTCAGTATTCATCCCCGGAACTAACCTCCTCCCCCAACCACTGACTGTTTCTGTCTTACTATCTACCCTTGACTTCTTCCATTTAGGTGGTTTAGTTGGGGCTACGTTCAGTTTCTATATTTTACATCCATTTAGTTCTCAATCTTGTGAATATCAGTGTAAATGAGGCTGTGGATCCACGAGGCTCTTTGAGACACTGCTCCCCAAATCACTATATATCTGATAATTTACTTAAAAGCAGATGAAGATAATAAAAATATGATATGAAGTTTCTATTGGAAAATACTGTTTTTTATAGGAATAATGTTCTTAAATAGTGTTACCTAACCAAAAAAGTTGAAATGACCAGTATACCCACTAAATATTTATCTTGGCAGGATCCATGTAAGGTTTATTGAGCTGGTTAAACTAGATGAATATTCCAATGATTTTTGTAGTATTATACATAACAATGTCACAGTAATCAGTAATCTGTAGTATCTATGCATCACACTGTTGCCTGTGAGAGCAATTTGACTAATTTGTCCAAGTAACAATTTTGTAAATATGAGAATGAAAATTGATCTATTTTAAACAACATCATATAATACAATGAAGGGCTTCTGTTAAAATTTTTCTGTACACTGCTGCTGTATTACTGTAAGAATCTTTGGTACCACATTGGTCTGACTGGGAGCGAGCAGTTAGCTAGAACAAGAACAAGAGTCTATAAGCTAGACTAAACAAGTGTGTTTTTAGTCTAGACTTGAATATTGACAGTGAGGCTGAATGTCACACAATGGGAAGACAATTCCACAGCTGAGGAGTTCTATAAGAGAAAGATCTGCAGCCTGCCGTAGTTCTTTCTACCCAAGGTACTAACATATATTCTGCTCCTTGGGATGGAAGCAAATGAGGAGGGTTGTATGAGGCCAGTAGATCTGTAAGGTATTCAGCTGCAAGGCCATTCAGTGCCTTATAAGTCAATAGCAGTATTTTGTAGTCAATCAGAGACTTAACTGGAAGCCAGTTTAAGGGAGCATAGAACAGGAATAATATTATCAAAAGTTTTAGTGTGTGTAAGAACTCTGGCTGCTGCATTTTGTACCAGTTGAAGTTTATGTAAGGATCCAGAAGGGCGACCAGAAAGGAGGGTGTTACAGTGGTCCAGCCTGTAAGTTATAAAGGCATGTATTAATTTTTCTGTATCATGAAAGGAGAACATCTTCCGAAGCTTGGCTATGTTACATAGATATTAGAACGCAGTTCTAGTAATACTTCTTATGTGAGCATCAAAACATAGATCTGAATCAACCAGGACACCGACCACTATGTTGTATGTTGTCAAACTTATTTCAAGTAGCCTTGGAACCAACTAGTAGTACCTCTGTTTTTTCTGTGTTTAACATAAGGAATTTTTTTGCCATCAATATTTAACTATTATTATTTATTAAGCTGTATAAGCGTTTATCCAAACAAGCGAGTCAGTTCAATGCTATCTGTGGCTGTTGGTTCTGTCTTCTACACCAGTGACCAACAAACAAATAACAGGAATTGCCCCCCCCCCCCAATAAATAAAATAAAATAAAATTACACGTAACTAACCTTCCATGGGTATGAAGCCTCCCCAACCACAGGACAGGCAAAAATAACTTAAACCCAGAAAAGCAAGATTAAAGGAAAGCCTTCCGGATCCTGACTGCTCTACCCAAAGCTAACGGCAAACTAATAACTTAAAGACATAAGGATATGAGCATATAACAATCTTTCTTTAACACCCTATTACGCTTATTAAACAGGGAACAATAATTAGCCTTGATAAATGCTGGCACACCCTGTAACCACAGCCCCTGTTCGGCAGAAGAGCGCAAAATACAAATATACAAAAGCAATAATGTGATAATGACCTTGCCGTCATAACAATGTTATAATAAATACATACAAGAAAAAACACGGCCCGTATGATTTCAGTTATGAAAAGCAGGAAGAAATTTTGTGTGTGACGGTTCTGTAAAGTTACACGTAATGGAAATATTCTACTTCTCTTTTCAGCCTCACCAAATCAATTCAGTTTTTCTTTTGCTTTCATTTGTTCACCTCGGTCGTTGTTACGGTCCATCTATTTAAATGTCGGACACGGTTTACTCTGTCATAAATCTTAATAACTTAAATCCCAATGATCGTGGTAAGTATTCTTAGTCTAAATATTACAAGAATTTCGAGAATTTCTAATATAAATATCAAAGACAAAGTTTAATAGAAAGGAAAGACACGGATATGACACCAAATGGCATTTCTGCTGCAGGAAACGGAGGCTGCAAGGGCTGGTAGATAATCTTATCGCTTTTAATATTCTCGTTAATATTTCACGCTTATTGTCAAGTGTTCAGTCCACACGTACATTTCTTAAAAGTGCATTTTTCCACTTTTGGAGAATTTCAGGTTCTGATACATTTCATGCGTTTTGTGCTATTTTTTGTTTTATATGCTAATTAACCACGTACGGAAGTCTACAAAATGAGTAGTTTGGAGTTATTATTGAGATTGATCTCAGAATTAGTTATTTTACTTGAGTGAGTAATTTTGCTGTTACGAAGCAGTTTTCTGTCATAATTATTTGATCATGCCGCTAAAAAAAAAAACAGTAATTAAACCCAAACTAAAACTAATTTCCATAGCGTTTACATATATCAACATTATCATTATTATTATTATCATTATTATTATTAAAATATATATTTAATAATAATTATTAATTATTCATATTATTATATAAAATGCGCTTCATTTTAAAAATGGATAGATTATTGTTAATACCTTGAGTATTCAAGACTTTTGTGTAACTATACAGATGTATTTAAGTGAGAAATCAGGTGCCTGTACTACCCTTGTTATTCGCCACCGGCAGATTATGAGCGGTACCGGTACTGTGAACAGGGAAACAAATTAGTGCCGGTACCCACTTCAAGCACTGAGAGGTTGTTGCTTTTGAAATGCAAGCTAAATCCTTAAGAAACAATCACAACTTTCCAACAAACACTTTAAAGGTTCCCTGTAACTCTGTGTCCTCATCTCTACGTTTCCAGTAAAGATTTCTTAAGAAATGACACTTTAATAAAGAGGTTTTCCCACAGAGATTAAAAAGAATCCATCTCTTTCCTACCCGCTTATCCTGTTCAGTCTCGGGGGTGAAATGAAAGATTATATATAAGGATCAGAAACATGCTGTTGTCAGGTTTGCAGCTCAGTAAGAGACACTATTACAGGCTAATTAATGAACTTCATATCCAGCTGTATAAATGCATATAAGATGTAATAAGATGCACCAACCCGATTAGTTAGTTAAAGCTGACAGTTCTAATCGCAGAAGCAGGGTGTAACTGCACGTGAAGAGTTTCTAAAGACACTTGAATAAAACTTCTTTGTACGTCAGTTTCATCAGACAATTTGAAGACCGAAACCACAGGATCCAGCGCCCATTCTTACAGACGGAGTACAGTGTGCCTGGGGGTCCTGTGTTTCCTCCTGTTCATTTCCGTAATAATTCTGGGTGTCTATTGTGAGTATGAATTAGTGTTTGTATGTATTTATCTGTACTACTGTTTGTAGCGTGATGTAATACACATTGCATTATGGAAAACTGGAGGGTGCCAATATGACATATAGGAAAGTTAATTCAATCAAAAGGTTTCAAAAATAGCAGTCCAATGATATGCTCTTTAAGCTTAGACTTTATATAGCAGGTTAAAGGTCCATCCAGGTATTTGTTTGACAATGATTTCCTATCATGTTTGCCTAAAATGAGTATTTGAATTTCTAAATAAATATTGGTAGTGATCATGTAAGCTCTAACTGCAGAATTTACCTCTGGTTTTCAATTATGTTTATAAGAATATGAGTGTTATATTCATGTACATTGGCAATTATTAGAACTAGTAACAGACACGAAATAACCCCAAAACTTTTCAGTGATGGAAGTTAAGCCCAAACAGCACATTGATGACTGCAGCATCCTGGTTGATGAGCGGAACCAGATACAGGGAAACTACAGCATCCTGCTTGATGAGCGAAACCAGATACATGGAAACTACAGCATCCTGGCTAAAGAGATGGAACAGCTTTTCCTTGTACTTAACAACATGACTCAACTACAGGAACAAAATAACCAGCTACAGAAAAATTTCAGCATCACAGTTAAGAACATGACACATCTACAAGAACAAAATTACCAGCTACAGAAAAATTATACAAAGTTAGAGGACATGAAGAATAAGTTGGTCAGTGAGAAGAATTATTTTCAGCAACAATGCAGCAGTTTGAAAAAAGATAAGGATGAAATACAAAAAAACTATGATGCTCTGTTAAGTAAATTACCCCTCCTTCAGAAGTACTGTCACACCACTGAAAAAGGTCAATTTACACTTTTTCTCTCAGCTTAACTTACAAATTTCAAAGAAAATATGACTTTCTCATTCTCACTGATTCCATCAGCTGTTTTAGACAGAGTGAGTGTTTCTTGTGTCTTTGCAGGGAGAGTCTGTGATCCCTGTCCTCAGGGCTGGAAGGAGCACAATGGCCAGTGTTACTATTTCTCTACAAGTGTAACGACCTGGAATGAAAGTCAGAATAACTGCAGTAAGGAGGCAGCTCACTTGGTGACTGTAAACAGTGAAGAGGAGCAGGTGACTGGCCTGATCTCCGTGTGGCTCCTTTGACAGTGTGATGTGTGGCTTATGTTCACATCCAGCATGTGTCAGTGTGGACACTGTGTCTCTCAGCAGTGCTGCGTCAGTCATTCACTGTCTTCTGTTCAGGGCTTCATTACCAAAGAGGGAAGCAGCAGTTACTGGATTGGACTGACTGACAGTGCGGAGGAGGGAGTTTGGCGCTGGGTGGACGGCACTGATCTGAAGCAGGGGTATGAAATCTTTCATGTATAACCTGTCTGTTACCAAACAAACCAGGAACCAAGATGTGAAACAGCTCTAAAGTTCTCCACTTCTACTCACAGCTGTCTTACTTACCAGAAAGCCCATTACATTTGGTTTAAACCTCTAGTGTAGACATTTTTTTATTTCTGCTAAAGACACCGTAACTTAATTAGTATGTCTGGCTCTTCTTTGTTTTCCAGATTCTGGTTATATGGGGAGCCGGACAATAAGGACCAGCAGTCAGCAGGCATAAAAGCAAACTGCGTCATTAATAGCAAAGAATGGAAGGATGAACCCTGTGAAGATCAGTATAGATGGATCTGTGAGACTCAGACACTGCACCCCAAACCACTTCATATCTGATAAATCATTTATTTTGAACAATATAAAGAGAAATGGCCAAACTATTTATAAATTATTATTAATAGGAACTGTAGCAGCTTGGATTGAAAACTGGTTAACAGACAGGAAGCAGTGGGTAGTTATTAGAGACACAATGTCACAGTGGGTCTGTGGTCATTTAGTGGGGTACCACAGGGTTCAGTTTTAGGACCACGGTTGTATTTTTATATTATTTATATTAATGATATTGACACCAATAGATACAGTAAACTGGTTACATTTGTAGACAACACCAAGGTGGGTGGTGTAGCAGATACTGAACTAGCAGCACAGAGACTACAACAGGATCTTGATTTAATTAGTAACTGGGCTGATATCTGACAGATGAAATTTAACGTAGATGAATGTGTGGAGTTTAAGTCAAGGGAGGTGATGCTACAATTACATAATTCCTTGGTAAGACCCCAACTAGAATATTGTGTGCAGGTTTGGTCACCATACCTTAAGAAGGACATTGTTGCCTTGGAAAAGGTGCAACGTATGGCTACAAGAATGATTCCTGGTCTTAGAGGAATGTCTTATGAGGAGAGGTTAGCTGAGCTGAATCTGTTCAGCCTCGAGCAAAGGAGACTCAGGGGGGACATGATCCAGGTGTATAAAATTCTAACAGGTCTGGATGCTGTTCAGCCAAATGGCTATTTCAATATTAATTTAAATGCTAGAATTCATGGCCATAGGTGGAAATTAGCGGAAGAACATTTTAAAATGAATTTTAGAAAGCACTTCTTTACACAGCATGTAGTTAGAGTATGAATTAGTCTTCCTGTTAGTGTAGTGCAAGCTAAAACAGTGGGTTCCTTTAAATCAGAGCTAGATAAGATTTTAACAACTCTGAGCTATTAGTTAAGTTCTCCCCAAACGCGCTTGACAGGCTGAACGGCCTCCTCTCGTTTATGTTCTTATGTAGATTTTTCTCTTTTTCATAGTCACCTGCTTGTAAATATGTATGATAATAATATAGTCCACCTGTTAACTGTGATTGGACATATATCTGATATACAACTATCAATGATAATACACTTGGTAATATGTGATGCATCAGTGTATTACAGTGCTGCTTATGAGAGAGAACTGCATAACGTCACGTCACACAGCACTGGCAACTGAGCCCCTAATAACTGGATACAGTGGTACCTCGGTTCTCAAACTCACTAGAACTCGAATTTCTTGAAAGTTGAACAAACCAGTTTGACCTAGAACTCGATCTGAATATCAGAAGTGGAACCGTGAACGCAGACCTAATATAAATTGCATGCGCCAGGAAATGAGTCATACTACAATGCAATTCTTACTTGAATGCCTTCTTCACAGACTGGACGATTAACCAAATAAAGCAGCGCAACATTACAGTAACTAACAATAAATAAGCCACTAACTTACGTGTACTATTAGAGCATTTATGTCATTTATTTAAACTTTATTTTACCAGGTAAATTAACAGAAAACCAGCTCTCACTGCTTTACGTGATATTCGGGAGAAATATCAGATTACGCATCAGAACTGTCTGGGATACAACAAATGTCATGCGTGTAACTAAACTCTTCAGCCAATAAGGGCAAAGGTGTGTCGTCACGGAGGCGGTTCCAGTTTGTGCAGCCGGGTGAGAGATCGCAATGTATCTAACCGTAATGCACTGCGTCAGGATCAGAATGCGTTGCTTTAAGCCAGCGCTGTAAGCAAGTCGAACGCACCCAATGACCGGACTGGGGAAACAAACTGAAACGCGGACTTAATACAGAGGATTAATGACAACAACCAGAAACAGCTGATCACATGGGGATCCCACACGAGGTTAACGAAGGGGTGTGGCACACGGAAGGAGCGGATGATCGGGGCAGTACAGGGGTAATGTTGGGATAAGATCGTTATCGTTTTGGAAGCCATTAAGAAAAAAATACTCTTCTTGTTTTATCCTGTTCATTTTGTGTTTAAATGCTAAAAAAAAAAACATATTTAGGTGTAATTTTGGGGGGCCGGGAACCAATAAATTGGTTTTCCATTATTTCTTATGGGAAAAATTCGATCAGAACTCGAACTTTTTAGGATTCGATCCGGAGTCCGGAATGGATTAAGTTCGAGAACCGAGGTACCACTGTATTTGCTTTAAGATCTCATTTAAATAACACAATGTGCTTCAAATGAATGACGTCCGTAACAATTCTGAAATGTATGTTGACAGTATTACTGTAAAATAAGCTAAAAGAGCTCTTTATATTTTTATAGAAAAACTGTAATTTACCTATACTTTTAATTTCAATAATTTCTCTAAAAATTGTATTCTGTATTAGTATTTTCCTTCAGCTATTCAGTAGTAAATTGAAATAATAAGCTGTGAGCAGAATTTGACTGTAAACACTGTAAAAGATTCTGTACCGGTTTTGAATTTTCAGTACAAATAGTGCGTTCAAAATCTTTGCTTCAGTGATCATTTCAAGAAGACTGGTGACACTAGGTGGCATTAGTGTTAATCTAAACTCACAGTAAAATTATTGTTGCCTAAATGGAATCTTAAAAGCAAGACTGAATATTACAGTGAATTATGCTCATTTGTATATTAATACTGGCAGACCAAGAATCAAGAATGAGTAACTATCACATGATTTTAACCCTGCAGACTAGTTTTGTAAGTGCTGCTGACCTGGTTAGGTTTTCACTCTTTCCTACATTTCCAATGGGATGGGGGGAGGTGGGAAGACCATGTGGTTTTGGCCCTTACCCTGTCTGCAGGGTGCTGCCCCTATCAGTGGCAATCATATCCTGATTGGATGGTTCATCCTCATGTATTGGATCTTCCTTGTGACTGTATCATGAGCTGCAGACAATGTGCTTTTAGCAACCTGAAGGCTAAGCTCTCCCAGATCATTTGATTCTCTATGCAGAAGAAACAGGCCCACACAGAAGCCAATTCCTTCTTAATATAAGTATCACACATTGCCTTGGTATTGGAACTATTACGCTGTAAGTGTAACTGGCATATCCATATCCAAATAAACACGCAAAAAAACGTGAAACATTGTAAATGAACATGCAATGATTGGGTGAGGTAGGGCATGGAGGCAGGGTGAGTTCGATCTCCTCACAGAGGCACAGTAGTCTGGGTGAGGTGGGATGCAGAGGCACCGTCCAGTTAAGACTGAGGATGAACTCCTGCTGGTTGTTGATTCCCTCGTCCTGAGCCTCCGGCTGAGCAGCTCAGACTGCAGCAGGATGCAGCCAGTAGCCGTAAGCAGCACCAGCGCACCCACCAGTACCATGAACAAACTCACGCCAGCTCCTCCTGGGTCCAACATGGCACCTAGAATTGAAGTGCTAGAAGAAAGCAATGTATGTAAAAATAAGGCATCAAGAAAGGGAAAGAATAATATTTAGCAACCTAAGTAGCTCATGACTTTTGTCCTTCAGGCCCTTTTCCTGAGCAATGCTGTCTGTGACAGGCATCTTGTGGACTCCTACATTATTAACCATCTGGACAAGCACATGGGTCACCGCTAGGGATGGGAATTGTTGGAGTACGCCGTCTCCACCGGGTGAAGAGATTCACAGCTGACACGTGGAGAAGTTGCAGGTCACCAGTTTATTCTCTGACAGATTGCAATCCGGGAGCGGCCATCTGACATACATTCAGCATGTACAGGAGGAAGCTCAACCATATGTATCAGCTGTATCCCTTTTAAAGCCCTTTGGGCATCCCCCCCCCTATCGCGGTACCTTCCGTCTACGTGACAACCGTTCATTTATGTTTATGTTTCAAAGTCAATTACCCCACTTGCAGCACACCACTTATCAAATAGCACAGCCTTCTGAAGGGCAAATGTGAGTGAGTTTGGCTGGGGGATTTACGGAGGCGGTGAAAATTCTGCCGATATGCCTCGGGCACCATCTCATAAGCCCGTAACACAGCGGCTTTCACCATGGCATAGTCATACTCTGCTTAAGAGGCAAGGCAGAACATACCTCTTGTGTCTTCCCCACAAGTCTGCTTCACAGAAATAATGACCATAAGTGCTTAGGTCAATCCAGAGTGGTACCTAACATCAAAACCAGCATTCCGCTGTTCATAGTTCCACTGTTCAGAATATTGGATTCATGGAGCAGCCCTAGGTAAACCGTCTGCGTCATGGTGGGGTTGGGCAGAGGACCGAGGAGATAACACTGGAGAGTTCACCTTCCGAGGCGGAGGCTCCATGCTCATCTGTCGTATGGCAGCTATTTTATTGGCTTCCAGCTCTCACACCTTGTACTGCAGCAGCTGGGCTTGGTACTCCTGTTTCTTGACTTCCACAGTCAGATTTGGAGAAGTAGCTCTTCCTTCAGTGAGCCGAACTCTGCAGGGTTTCTGCGTGAACCTTGCTCCAACGAATCATCACCAGTTTCAATCACTGGAAATGGCCCGGATGCAGTATATGATTCCCCAGACTTGGGAAGAATCCCCAAATGGGTCAGTTCCTCCTGAAGGACCCCTTTGATTACCTGCTTGGTGGCGCCACTCGGAATCACCACACTGACAAACCCTGCTACATCTATCAGGTCAACCTTTTTACAATGATCAAGTTGTTCCGCTGTAGGGCTCATGCATAACTACACCAAGTCGAACTGAGCCATGGTTATAAATAAATATGTATAAAAACGCATATGAAAGTTGCATGCAGTGCATTGTGCCCAATAGTTTAATACTTAAAACACGCTTAATTGGACATGAATGTATCTTCTAGGTTTAAACTTATTAGTCCATTAATTGTATGTCTTGTAGTTTAAACTGAAAGAGTACAGTCATTGTTAGTAACACTAAACTATTGTGAGAGAACGGAAAACTATTGCAAAGGATTGGAATACCATTTCAAAATATATTTTCCCACTTGCACCTCTTAGGGGCTCTGTGCAAATAAGATGTTGTATGGGCATTTAATAAAATACTGAAAAGAACAATGCTGTGTAGCTTTATTTTATTGTATTGTATTGGGGGGGGGAGGCAGCACAGCTATTCAAATATATTCCAAGGTCACGCAATTAGTCTGAACTTGACAGCCCACTTTGCACACAAAGGATTACTGATGACAGCGGTGAAGACGCTTGGGCACCACTCTGCAAAGGGTCTGACGGAGTCTTGAGCAGATCCGTCGCCCACTGAGTTGCTTCCTTGCTGCAGAGCTCGTACATGCGTCTTCCACTGGGGGGACGGGGGAAGGAGCCTCATTCAGCCTGGCTGACTCTGCAAAGGGCTTCCATGTTAGAGATCTGGTTTATCCACCCCAGTCTCTCCCATAAATTTAATCTGCATTCACCATACACTATAAATTCCCATATAATATAATACAATAACCGACAAACAATAATCCTATGAGTCGCAAATGGATCGTCCACGTATTACATGCCCACACATGCCACGCCCCCGTGCTAGAACCTCCCGAGCCCATGACACAGTTTGACAGTTTTAAATGAGACAGGAAGGAATACGTAGCATTAACAGGGCAGTAAATAGATTCATATTCAAATAAGGTATTGCACAAAGTTATATAAAAATCACAGAAAGCTGAACCTTTGGTGGCAAACAATAATTGTCATCTAGCAAAAGTCACTGGCACTCACTGTAACACCCAGTGCACTAACCCAACACTACTTGTGTCATCACTCTGGCCTCTTGCACATCATTAAAGGTTTAACTGGCTGGGCCACTCAGAATGTCAGTATTGATGGACATACTGGACACACACACAACATTTTACCTTCACAGTCCTCTCTTGGCTGTATGTCTGTCTTGGCATCATCCCACTTGGCCGTTGACAATGATCCGTCAGGCCCGAGGAACATGCCGGAAAATTGAGTGTATGAGTTGAATTTCTGTTTAAAAGGTAACATTGAGACCCATGAAC